TGTGTGTGTGTGCACGCATGCACGTGCGTGCGTGGGTGTAGGGAGTGCGGAGGGACAAGGGGGATGAGACACGAGGTTTGACGAGCGCAGCAGTCCCCTCGAAAGGTATGCAGTCAGGATTGGTGGTCCGTGTGGCTGTCGCCCCGACCCCGCCTGATGGGCTGCAAAGACGGGGGCGGCCCGCCCCACGCGACTGCTGTCGAGGCTGCGTCTGCCACCTCACTCGCAGACAAACAGGCTTGCGACCGCTGCTGCATATGCCCCAAACGCAGCCGCCCATCTGCCCACGGGCTGCGGCCGCGGGCGCGGCGCAGCGCGGCTGCCCGCTCGCCACCCAAGTCACCTGGGGGTTCTCGATGGCGACGATGACGCGCGCCGCCAGCTGCAGCTTCTCGTAGGTCTTCTCCAGGTTGATCACGTAGATGCCGTCGTTGCGGCGGCGGTACACGTAGCGCTCCATCTGGGGGGAAGGGATGGTGCGCGAGTTCTCAGTAAAGTGCTCACAGTGTCGTGGGTGGTGAGTGTGCTGTGCGCGTGCGAGCGTGGGGCGTGGTGCATTGGCATGGGACAAGCGCAAAGAGAACTTGCATGTGGTGTTAGCGGAAAAGCTTCGCAGACGGCAGGACGCTGCTGCTGCCCAGAAAATGGCTTGTTGCAGCCGTCGCGGCCGCTGCCGCAGTGCCGATTCATGCTGCCGCCCTGACGCGTGGCTGTTGCATTCCCCGATGACGGGCTGCTGCTAGGCGTCTGGCGCGCACTAGTGGCTGGCGCCGCCCTTTGTGTGCCGGGCCACTGATGCTGCGTAACAAGCTGCTGGCATGCTGACTGCAGTCCTGTGTGAATCGCCATATTGACGTGGTGCAGCTGCGCTGCAGGGCTTCAATGCAGGCGCAGCGCAACTGCTACGGCAGCCTGCGCGGCTTCACTATGCATTTTCACGCTAGCACGTGGGCCTCCTTGGTACCAGATTCCGAGCGTATACAGCTAAAAATGTCCCTGCTGGTGCTGTCCAAGGAACCACCACCTGGCTGACACTCCCGCCGTGGCCACAAGCCAGCTGCAATGCCTGCAATCAGGATGCCACGGCCGTCACAGCGCACCTGGAAGGAGCAGTTCTTGGTACCCAGGTGGCACCCCGCCGCCAGCAGCAGCTGGATGTCCGCCTCCTTCTGAGAGAGCGCCATCTTGTCAGGAGCCCCTGTGCAGCAGCAGCGGCGGCAGGCGCGCCAGGCGCAGCGACAGCAGCGGGGCACTCGAGTCAGCCACGGCGTGCGTGTTGCATGTACACCTTCATACCTATTCTTTTGCAACCGGAACGCAAGCCGATTCTCTACGATTGCTGCACTTGCTGCACTCCTCCTCTTCGCCTCCGGCCTCATCAGCGTGTTGCATGACGTCTCGTGTGCAGAAAGAAACCACTGATACCTCTTGGAAGCATCACCCGCCTCCACTGCACGCGGGCCGCCCGCGCGTGCTCGAGCGTTCCACGCCCGCCTCCGATGCCTTCTAACAGCCTCACCTGGCAGGTGCCTCAGGGTTGTACCTGCTGCGAAAGAGGGCGGCTTCGGCGTTCGCTGTGTCTTTGTTTCGGGAATCCCACACACCGCCTGCCGGTTTGCCCTTGTTTGTGCGTGGCCCCTTCAGGCTCACGGCCGTGCGCAAATATCGTTTGAATGGGACCTGCACACTCTCACAATGGTCAGCAACTGTGGGGCGCAGCACTGTGTTGGAGCCGGTCAGCGGCGTGGGTTGACCGCGCCCAGGAGCCTTCCCTGTTTTCAAGGGCGGACTCGCAAGGCAGGACCCTCAAACAATCCAGCACTCCGGCTGTCTACGCTTTGCACAGCGAAAGCAGTTAGATAGTGCACGTGTACCATATGCACTTAGGGCACTGATGAGTTGCTCCACCAGGCCAAGCACTGCGAATGATACGCCGACATTCACAGTTGGAAGGCTTGCATGTACAGCATGGGAACAGCCAGAATACCTTTCTCACACACCCATTAGCAACGCAATGCACATGTCTTTCACCAGAAATCAGCTGCTCAGCATGCGAGAGCAGCCCCATCAGCGAGGCCTCACTGCCGCCTGGACACCTGTAGCTCAAAGTTCACGCCATGATACCCTGCACTCCACGGTGGGCGTGCCTGTGCTTGTTGTGCTTGCGGCAGCTCTGGAGCACACAGATGCTGTGCAGCTTCGAAACCACCAAGAAAACAACATTGTAGGAAAAAAAAACAGGGAAAGAACTTTCACAGCACCACAACTGTATGTGGGTCGGGCCTTGAAATAGACGTGCAGCTGCTTCGCTCTAGGTGCACCAGCAAACCAGCAGTTTTGCTGCGAATCCACTGCAGCAGCCCAGGTTGCCTCTGCACACTGGTCAGCATATCTGTGATGGCGCTGTGCATCGATGGAGCGTACAGGAGCACCTTCTTCCCTCGTCAGCCTCTTATGTTACTGTTTGCCGGATCACCCTACAATAGCAGCATGTAAACTAGGTAGCGATTGAAACCAACGGGTGTGAAGATGTTTTCGAGTGCGAGTGGCGGACAAGTGGCGAGACGCGAATCAACCCGCCACGCCGCCAGCCGTCCAGTCTCACAGCACTCAGAGCGCGAATACTACGCGTGTCGGATGTGGCAATTTAGATTCAATGTGCATATGATGACACCGTCACTGCACATGCGCAACGAGTGATGTTATAGATCGCACCGGTGATATTGCCAGGCGAGTGTGTCAGATCCATCTTACCTAGTTGGTTTTATGCAGACGATATGATACAACAACCATTTGATTCGCTAAACATGTTGCTAGATCCTCTTGGATGGCGCGGGATCCCTACGCAACAACAGTGAAGCGGGCGCTGGTCATAAGAACCTGAGAACATAGCTATTCGGTAGCCTTTGAGCAACGAGGCATGTCGGGCGCACCGCCCCATGCCGCGGCAGGCGGCGCAGTGCCGGCAACGACGCTGGACGTCGTGCCGATGCCGCTGCCTGTCTGCCTCGCCGACGAGGCCTGGCTATATAACGCCCCCGCGTTCCACAGCGCGGTGGTCTGGTCCGATGACAACGTCCTAGCAGTGGCGGCTGGCACCACGGTCGTCCTCGTGTCGCCAGCTGACTTGGGCGGGGCGCGACACTATGTGGCGCTCCCCCAGCCTGCCGCCCCGACGGCGGCCCAGGTGAAGAAAGGCAGCAAGCCGGCGGAGGATAAGGAGCCTGCCGCCGGCTGCCGCCCGCGCCGCGCGGCGGCAAGTGCGACGCTGCCGCTAGCGATGCTCGCCGAGGGGGACGGCGGCGCCGTGCTCGCTCGCGCCGTGGCGTGGTCGCCGGCCAGCTGCGCGCCGGGCGCGGGCTGCCTGCTGGCCGTGCTGTCCAGCGATCACAAGGTGAGCAAGTGGACGGGCACCTGCGAGCGCATGTTAGGGTTCCTTTGCAGTAGGAAAACAGCATTGCAGTAATGAACTTGCCGTCGCCAAAATGGGATTTGTGTCAAGCTCAAGATTGCGGCAGTAAGTCGCAGGCAGGCAGCAGCATGAAGCTCCCAAACTAACGGTGTGCCATGTTTGTCAGCTACTTCAGATTTGAACGGGGGCAGATACTCTGTGCAAGAATGCTCATCGCTTGGTACCTGGGCCCATGGGCATGGCATGCAGCCGCGCAGATCTAACTGCGCTGCACCATGCTCCCGTGATGTCGGCAGGTGCACATCTACGGGCCCGGCCCCACCCAGTCTCACAGCCGCTGGGGAGTGTGCCAGGACCTGACCGCCGCCCTCAGGCCTCACCTTGAGCGCGGCGGCTGGGCCGACGCCGACCCGCCAGCGACGGCCGAAGCCGCCGCCGCGCTGCGGCTGCGCGGCGGCGGGGGCGGCGGCGGCCGGAAGCGGCAGGCGCCTGAGGCAGCGGCGGCCGCCGGCGGGGGCAAGGCGGCGGCGCCACGCGGGAAGCTGAGGCGGGTTGCTGGAGAGAGCAAGCAGGCGCATGGCATTAAAAGCGAGCCCGAGCAGCCTGACAGTGAGCTCGAGGATGACTTGGGGGACGAGGGACCCCTGGCCACCCCCGATGACGGCGACGGCAGGCGGCAGCACAAGCAGCAGCACACCGGCCCAAAGCCACCGGCCCCGGCGCCTGCAGCGGGCGCCGACCCCAAAAAGCGTGGGCGGCCCCCAAAGAATAAGGCGGCGGCGGCGGTGGCGGAGGCTGCGGGTGCAGCAGGGACGGCAGCGGCGGGCGGTGCTGGGCAGGTGTTTTCAGAGGGCATGCGGGTGGAGGTGACTAATGACGAGGAGGGCCTGAGGGGCTGCTGGTTCACCGGGAGGTGGGTGTCATGTGGCAGGTGGGGGCCAGGGAGTGACGCAGACGGCGAGCCCCGGCTCTTTTGAACGGGAGGTAGCGTCGGCCACCTGCCACCACATGCGCTATCGCCGTGTGGGGATGTGTCGTGCATGCGTGGCCGCCCGCCTGCTGAATGAACAAGCACCGCCCGAAGCCACCCGCCCCGTCCGCCTGCACGGCCTGTTCTTGTTCCCCTCTCTCCTTTGCAACCCGCCCAATCCCAACACAACCCACCCCGCCCCCTCCCCACCCCGTCACACCTGACAAACCCCTTCAGGGTGCTGCAGCTTCATGGCAGCTACGCCCTGGTGGAGTACGACGAGCTGCACTCGGACGAGGAAGGCACCATGAAGCTGCGCGAGTGGTTCCCCATACCCGATGCCCTCTTCAGCACCGGCCGCCAGCGCCACACCGGCCGCAGCGGCGGGCCGAAGCCCGGCGGGGGCTATGAGGTTCACGAGGGCGGCGGCTACGCGATACGACCCCCGCCGCCTGATGAGGTGCGTGCGTGCAGCCGGGCGGGCCGGTTCTGGGGCAGTCAGACGAGCGCGGGCCTGTTTTGCACCCTGTATGGCCCTCCTTTTTCTTGGACCCCTGCAGCGGCCCGCTGCCCGCTGCGCCCTGCGCCGAATTCTGGTGCTGCCCTTTAGACCCTCCGTCACCGTCCCCAGCACGGTCCCACGAGCATCCCCACACAATCGCCCACACATCTTTCAATCCCTCAGATCGCGGACCTCCAGGCCCCGCCCGCCGCGGGCGACCACGCCGAGGTGTTCTGGGACGGCGGCTGGTGGATCTGCCCGCTGGCCGCCGCCTCGCCAGCCCATGTGACCGCCGCGATCCCCGGGGAGCCGGAGCCCGTCACGGTGCCGCTGGACGGAGTGCGGCGCGTGACGATGTGGCTGCCCGAGGCTTGCTCGTGGGGGCTGGCGGTGGTGCTGCCGCCTGACGCGCCAGGCGGAGGCGCGGCAGGGAAGGGGGGCGGCGCGGCGGCGGCAGCGATCGCGACGGAGGGCGAGCAGCAGCAGAAGCAGGCGGAGGCGAAGCGGCAGGAGAGGGCGCAGCGCAAGGAGGAGGAGCGGAGGCGGAAAGAGCGGCAGCAGGCGAAGGCGGGGCGCGAGGCGGCAGCAGCGGCGGCACGCGCCGCCGCGGCCGCCAAGGGCCCCGTTGATGATGGTGTGGAGGACGACAAGGAGGGGCATGAGGAGGCTCGGACGGGCTTGGGTATTGGCAGCGCCGGCGGCGGCGCGGCGCGTCCCGGCCAGCGCGCCGCAGCGGCGTCCGCGCGGCGGCGCGCCGCGCTCGCAGCCGCAGGCGACGACGAGGACAGCGAGAGGACTGGCGGCGGTGGCAAGCGCCGGGGGCCGCCTGCACGTCGGCGTCGCGCGAGTGACGAATCGGGGTCGTCTGATTGGAAGGCATCAGATGATGATGACGACGAGGAGGAGGAGGTTGAGGAGGAGGAGGAGGAAGAGGAGGACGATTTTGAGAGTGACCTGGTGGCGGGCTCGGATGAGGAGGGGGCGCGCCGAGGGAGGCGCGGCCGCGGCGGCGGGCGCGGCGGCGGCAGGCCGACCAAGCTGATGCAGCTGGCGGCCGCGGCGCGCGGCGCCGGGCGCCGGCCAGCCGGTGGGCGGCGCGGCGGTGAGGAGGAGGACGAAGATTTTGAGGAGGGGGCGCCGGCGGGCGGCAGGGGCAAGTCCGAGCTTGGCGGTGACGAGGACGGGGTGCCACCGCCGGGGGAGGAGGAGCAGTGGGAGTTTGAGGAGTTCGAGGTGCGGGGCGACGCGGCGGGAGGGCAGCAGGCATGCGGGCAGCGAGGGAGGCGCGCAGCCTCGCTGCTGCCTGACAACCACCCCGCTGTTTCACGTTCGCTCTTCCTGAGCCCGCGCCCCTCACATCTCGGCCTGTTCGATCCTTGACTTTTGGCAACCCGTTAATCAGCGGCCTCCGTTGGACTGTGCGGCCACCCTTGACAGGTGCCCGCTGACCTGGCGGCCGACACCTTCACGCGCCTGCAGCCGAGCTTGCAGCCGTGCGACAAGAAGACCTGGACCAAGGCGGCGCCGCAGATGGTGCTGCACCGCTTTCTGGAGCTCAGGGCAGCGCTGGAGCCTGCGCAGGTGGGAGAGCAAGGGGTTTGTATTTGTTCTTGTGAGCGCGCACACGTGTTTGTGTGTGTGTGTGTGTGCATGCGCGTGGTGATGGGACGGGATGTCCCTGGCTGGTGGACAGGGGCAGGCTGGGGCATCACTTGCACCTCCATCCATGTTCCAGCTGCCCGGCAAGCTGCCCGTTGTTCGAGACGCGCGCGGACGTGAACACACTCCATGTACAAGCTCAAGGCGCATACCGACATCCACACACAACGCGCGCAACGCGCAACACACACACGATGCGCGCAAGCACATGCGCACAACTACCACATACCCTCTCCTACCTCCCAAGACCTCTCTCCTCTGCCTGCATCCCCCCTCCACCCTCCACCCTCCTGCCGCCCACCCGTTCCACCCCAGGTGCCCCGCTACGCCAAGGGGCAGCACCTCCGCAACCACGACCTGCGCATCTTCAACCAGGCGCGCGCCGAGTTCGACGCGCTGCACGGCGCGGCGCTCGCGCAGCACGCGCCCGCCATGACCGAGAAAGAGCTGACTAAGGCTGTCAAGGCGCTGATCAGGCAGCGGGTGATCAAGTCAAAGGCGGGCGCAGGCGCAGGCGCGGGCGGCAAGGCGGTGAACGTCGTGGCGACAGGCAGGGCGGGGATAAGGGAGGAGGCTGGCGGCAAGGTCCGCGGCGGGGCCGGGAAGGGCGGCGGCGACGGCGGCAAGGGGCGCGGGGCGTCTGTCATGCTGCCGGCGATCGCGTCGGAGGCAGCCGCGGCGGAGGTGTCGTTCTTGGAGAACCCCCTCCTGGCCGTCGCGCGCGCGTCCGCCGCCGCCGCGGCGGCCGAGGCCGGCGCAGCGGCGTCAGCGGCTGCAGCGGCGCCCGCGCGGAGCGACGCCGCGGCGGCGGTGGCGGCGGCGCAGCGGGTGCACGAGGCGCGTGCGCTGAAAGGGGACGAGCTGGAGCGGTCCTGGCACCTGCAGGGGTCGGAGGCGGCGCCGTTTGTGGAGCAAAGCCTCACAGTGTCCCTGGTGCACGTCGCGTCGGAGGCTGGCGGGGCGGCGCAGTACGTGCGCTTCTCGGCGCCGCCCGCGCAGCAGAGGACGCTGCTGGTGGGTCGGGGCGCTTTTGTAGGCGCGGGCTGCACATGGGCAGTGGGCTGTCCCCGGGAATGCTTGGCCAGGGGCATGCAGGGTCAGCAGGCCGCTACTGTTATTGGGTAGGATTGGTGGCAGCACAGGGGCGGCATGGGTGGGTGGGAGTAATCTTCTCTCACATCAATTGTTGGAGCAACTCAGGTATGAGGCACAGCCATGCGTGACTCCCCTGCCTTGTCCTTAACCCACGTGTCCGACTGCCCAACGCCCGACCTCGATTCCTGACAGTACGCCAGCGACTTTGCAAGGGAGTTTGGCGCCATCAACGGCGCCGCCGTCGACAACGCCGTCTACGAGGCGCGCCGCCGCTTCGTCGCGCCCACCGCCCTCGCTTGGTCTCAGACCTGCTGCCGCCCCGCGGCCGCGTCAGCGGGCGCTGGCAGGCAGCAGCCGCGCGGCGGGGCGGCGGCGAGCACCAGCAGAGGCGCGGGGGCGGGGGCAGGCGAGAGGTGCTGCCTGTTGGCGGTCGCGACGCGGTCGGGGCACGTGCAGCTGTGGCGGTGCGCGGTGCCGTCCCTTGAGCGGCCGCGCGGCGCGGAGGAGGGGCAGCAGCAGCAGGGGCAGCAGCGTCGACAAGCGGGCAGCGACCAACAGGGGGACGATGAGGATGACGGCGGCGCAGCTGAGCAGCGGGAATCCAATGGCTGCACGGAGGGTCCAGCCGTCAGCGGCTTTGTCCCGGACGACCCCTTGCCGGCAGCTCCCGCGCTGGAGTACATAGGGGCGGCCCGCGCCCACGCCGGCGGCGTCACCGCCCTGAGCTGGGCGGTCGTGCCCGCAGGCGCCGCCGCGGCGCTCGGGCGGGGATCAAGCGCGGGCGGCGGCGGCGGCAGCGGCTCGCGGCCGGTCTTCTTTCTGCCGCGGCGCTGTGAGGAGGGCGACATTCTGGTGCTGGCCACAGGTGTGAAGCTGGTGCACACTGATTTTGTGATTGCGGGGTGCTGAGCTTTGAACCCAGCTCTTAGTGTGGCTCCAGCTGAGGGATTGTCACTGCCATACGTAGCTAGGCTTGGCTTGAGGGACGCCGTTGGGGTTTTGTCGTGGCGTTTGTTGCATCGCACATCAAGACACCCAGAGCTTGAGCCGCCGACGCTTGCTCTGATCCCATGAGAAGTCCCTTGACCGCGACCCCGCCGCCGTCGCCCCGCTCGAACCGCGCACACCCCCAGCCGCCGACGACGGCGCCGCGAAGCTCTGGTGCGTCGACCCCTGGGCCAGCGCAGCCACGTCCGCCATGCAGAGCCTAGGCGTCACGCTGCCGCCCGACCAGGCGCGCGTGCTGTCGCTCGACCTGTGTGTCGCCCCCGCTGGCCCCCCTGACGGCAGCGGCGCACCGGAGGCAGGCGGCCCACGCGGGGGGAATTCAGGGGCGGAAGGCGCGTGGCAGCTGCTGCTGGGGGCGGGCAAGGCCCTGGGGTCCGTCTCGGTCTGGCGGAGCGCGCCGTTTGATGCTGCGGGCGCGACGCCGCGCGGACTGGCGGAGCGCGTCGCTGGCGGCGCGCGGAGCGAGGCGGCCGGGGCGCACGGCTGCGCGGGCGTCACCGGCGTCATCCTGGACCCTTGGGCGCCGGGCGCCGTCACCTGCTGCCTCGCCGGCCGCCTGGCCGCTTGGCGCCTTGCGCCGTCGGGCGAGCTGCTCCCGCACGGCGCCGCCGGCGGCAGCAGCGGCGCCGAGGGCGAGCCCGCGCCGCCAGCGCGGCTCAACCCCCATGGCCGGCGCCCCGGCGGCGGCGCGGCGGCGGCGCGGCGCGACCGCTTGCCTCTGCTGGGGGTGGCGGCGTCGGGCAACAGGCTGGTTGTTGCGGCGGTGCGCAGCGTGGGCGGACCGCAGCCCGAGCAAGACGGCGCTGCTGCAGGCGGCGGGGGGGATGGGAAGAAGAGCAACATGTCATACAACCGCATCGCTCGCGCCTGGCTGCAGCTGGTGTTGGCGCCCAGCTGCAGCCAGGGCGGCGGCGGGGGCGCGGCGGGCGGCGCGCGCGGGCGCGGGCTGCCTCACGGTATGCTGCGCGCGCTGGCGGCGCTGCCGCTGCAGCCGCCCCCGGCGGCAGCGATGTGGGACGTGATGAGCGGCGTTGCCCTTGCCGGCTGGCGCGCGGTCGAGCTCCCGGGGCAGGGCGCGCAGGAGCAGCGGCCCGGCCCGCCCCAGGGCGGGGGCGCCTCAGCGCACCATGCGGCCCGGCAGCAGCGCCGCGTGCGCCAGCGCCGCCTGCGTGAGGCCGAGGTCACCGCCCAATGGGACGCCCTCCACGCAGCTGCGGAGCAGCTGGCGGCGCGCTGCCCCAACGGCGTCGAGTCCGCGCCGCTGACGCTCGCCGACGCGCCCGCGTGGCGCGCGCTGCGCGCCGGCGCCGCGCTGCGGCGGTCGCTGCTGCGGCTGTGGATGGGGCCGCAGCAGGTCGCGCGCGACTTCCCACCGGCTGCAGGGCAGCTTCAGGGGGAGCTGCTGCTGCTGGAGATGCTGCTGACTCAGCGCCACATGTGGCAGGCGCTGACAGAGTGCGATGACCACTGCAACGGTGCAGATGGCGGTGGTGCTGGGAAGCTGAGCGGGCCCGGACAACAGCAACAGCAGCAGCGGCAGCAGCAACAGCAGGTAAAGGGCAAGGACAAAGGGAAGGCGCTGGCCAGCCACAATGCACGCGCCCAGCAGCAGCAGCAGCAGCAGCCGCAGCAGGCGGGCGCCGCCGCCGCCGCCGCCTCCAAGCTACTGCCGCGGCTGCTGATGGCGGACTGGTGCAGCCTCCATATCCACGACCCCTCATTCAACAAGGATCTTATCCCGCATGTTGCGGCCACATACGTCAGCGCACGGACGGACCCTGTCGTGCCGCCGCAGCCGCCTCCGGCGCGCGAGCCCAACCCGTTTGGCGCGCAGCTGCCCGGAGTGGCGGTGGCGGGCCTCGGGCCGCAGGCGGCGCTGCAGGCGGAGGTCGCTCTTGAGCCCGCAGGCGAAATAGCGGCCGGCCCAGCGGCGGCGCAGGTGCTGCGGGTGCCGCGCTGCGCGAGCACGCTGCGGGTGTGCGTCGCGCCGTCGCCGTGGCGCTGCGGCCTGTGCGAGCGGCGGTACCTCGCCGCGCCGACGCGCGGCGCGGGTGCCGAGGCGGAAGACGTGCCGCGATGCCTGGTGTGCGGGGTGCGGCTTAGCAAGGGGCCCGCGGTGGCGGGAGCCTTGGAGCAGCCGGCACTGGTGCTGGGACCGCCGTCCCGTGTGGTGGCCCGCCTGCCTTGACCGCCGGTCTCTCAAGATGTTGTGATGGCTTTGCGACGTATGTCATGCCATGTATGTTTGCGGTGCTTCCATGCAGGTTTCAAACTAATGCCGACGCAATATTGCATTGATTGATGTCCTCCGTCCCTTCTTGCATTGCGATTCTGTAAGGTGCAGGCGTTCTAGGCAGTACAGTAGCTGATGTCGGGTTCAACACTGCTGCACTGCATGGACAAACAGGCAACGACATCAGTCCTCTCCTACATGAACACAGGGCTGTGAAGTTCTGTATCCTGTTTGCGTGGTAGGGGCCCTCAGAAAGCCTGTATGCACCTGCCGCGCACCGTTTTGCGCTGGTTTTCCAAAGGCAGCGTTTGAACCGGGGCAGCTGCTTTCGTACCTGGCACCTCGACCGCCGCGACCGCTTGCCTGGAACACAGGCGTCAAGGACACAGTCGACGAAAATAAAACTTTGCAGCTTCTCGGCCGTTCAGCGTCGCGAAAATCCTGTGATCTTGCGGTGTCCGCACTTGCACTGCCAATCGCACTTGTAATGAAACAATCACATCGATTTTCCATGGTGTTCCACACTTGATCAACGCCGCTCGTATTGTTGCCCACTGCAGCGAGAGGCGCGGGGACGAGCATGCGAGATGAAAGCTATAGGAGGGCCGCAGAAGCTCCGCTTCGCCATTCAGAGCTGTTCTGGAGAGGTACATGCCGCGATGCGTGCATTTAGACCTGGCTGGTGCGGTGGCCCAGCCGAGCTCAGCTCTCGGGCTCCAATGATCGCAGGACTCTGATTATCCAGCGCGGGAGCTGCTTTATCATAGCCCTCAAACTCGAGGATGGCAGTCCCCAAGGTGAGCGGTCGAGCCGCAGGCCGTGACCACTCTGCGCGCTGTGCGCCGCTGCGTTTTCATCGACGAAGAGCCTGCCGGTGCGCCGTGCCTTGCAGGTTCTGCAAGTTCCCACAGGAAATTGTGTTGCGTCTGGAGAAGCCTGCCAAGGTGCAACAGATCCAGATCCTTGCACATGAATTCAAGGTGAGGTCAGTGCTGAGCAGGGGACTTGAGAACAACGCAGGCGGCGATGTTGGCCGCAGAGCAACATACATGTCACGCAATGAACGTGCATAGCGGCACAAGGGATGTGGCGTGTGATGCTCAGACCGCTTGATTGCAGTGGCTCTGCCGACCAATGGCAAGAGACCAGACATCCAAGCAACGCTGTTTATGGCGCCGTTGCGCCTGAATACAATCCAGATCCCGACCAAGGTAGAGGTGTACATTGCCCCCCCGGGCTCGGAGCAGCAGCAGCAGCACGATGGCGCCACCGCCGCCCCGCCGTCGCTGCCCTCCAAGCGACTGGGGTACCTCTCTTTTGACAGCAACGAGCGCAGCGGCCACCAGGCGCGCGAGCTGAAGAGTGTGCATGTGAGCGTCGACGCGGTGGCGCTGCGGCTGGTGGTGCACCGCTGCCACGTGAACAAGCTCAACATCTACAACCAGGTGAGGGGCGGGGCGCTCGCAACCATGTGTGAGGCCCGTCGCCGGGTGTGGCATGGGATGCGAGCCTGCAACGCAGGCGCGACAGGATTGGTTGTCTCAGCCGCAGCCGTCGGGGCCGGCGACAGATGGAGTGACGCGCAGCGTTCCAGCAGTGGAGCTCAAGAGCATGCGCCGTGGGCCGCGCACGTCGCGTCGTGTTGCAAGCACCGCTGCCGACCGTTGCCCTGGCCGGCAGGTCGGCATCGTCGCGTTGAACCTGATCGGCGAGCCGCTGGTGCCGGCGCCCCCGCCGCCGCCCGGCGGGGGCGCCGCGTACCTGGATGTTGGGCAGCAGCCGGTGGGCGAGGTGGGGTACTATAACAGGTGAGGGGGCCTGGGAGGGCATAGAGCACCGCTGTTGATCTGGGCCACGCAACGGGCTTGCGGCGCCGCAGCTGAGGCGGGCGCAGCAAACAGGGCGCTGGCACGCCGACTTGGTGCCGGAGGGACAACAGGGACGATGCGTGCGGTCCCGTTCTGGGCTGGAGGCGGTGGCGTTGTGGCCGCTGCAGCAGGGCGCCGCAGGTCCAGGGTTATCGTCCTCTTCATAACACTGACGAATGCGCTCTTGCTGGCTGACGTCCTCCAGAGCTGCCGCCGACATGGCGGACCTGAACCTGGACATGCACGTGGACTCGGTGGGTTCAGATTGCAGCCGCGGAATCTGCCTGGCACCAGAGGCGCTGCAGTACTGCTCCGCGGATGCCGCAGGCACTGGCAGACTGGTGGCGCTGCTGCGAGCGCCGCTCCTGCTGCGGCCGGCGTCACTGTGTGCACGCCTCCCGCATCTGCCGCAGTTGGGGCCGCCGTTAGGGGCAATGTGACGAAGCGATGCCGTGTCCCGCACCCAATGGCAATGCGCGTGCCTGTGCAGGTGACTGCTGCGAAGATCCGAGACCTGGGTCGCCTCAAGGAGGCCGCGGTGGCGGCGGAGGAGTACGACGAGGCGAAGCGCCTCAAGGCGTGCATTGAGAGGCTCAAGGTGGGGCGCGGGCCTCGCATCACGGCAGCAAAAGCAGGACTTGAGGTCTGCCGTGCAAGGGGATGCGCGGACGGGAGACGGGTGGGCAGGCGGCCCGGCCGCGCCGCCTGGGCCGAATCATATCAGGCGGCCGGGGGGTGCCAGATGCGGCAGGAGGCCAACGCGTCCGCAATGCAGCCTATCTCCGCCCTGCGGAGGCATACACGACGCTGTGTATCCGTTACAAGGAGGCTCCCTCGACGGCCCCGCTGCGCCCCTCGCGCCCCGGGACGGCAGGCGGTCGGCCAGAAGGTGGCGCAGCTGGAGGCGCGCAAGCGCGCAGCGGTGGAGCGGGAAGATTATGATCTAGCAAAGGCCCTGAAGAGCGACATTGACAAGCTCAGGGCCGCGGGGGACGGCGCGGCCATGTCCGAAGCGGGCCCGCCGGGCGGCAACGGGGGCGGCCCGGGGGCGCTCGGCGGCGGGGGCGGTGGGGGGAGGGTCGGGGATGACGTCATTGCCAGGGTGCTCGGGAAGACGCGGAGTGTGGGGCCGGGCGGCGCGGCTGGCGGCGGCGGCGGCGGCGGCATCGGCGCGCACCTGGGTGCGGAGCCGTCGGGGGCGGGGCTCGACGGCGACGGCGCCCCCGCGGGGCCGCCGTCGCCCGGCGGCGGCCTTCCAGGCGGCGGCGAGGCGAGCGCTGGCGTGCTGGGCGGCGGCGGAGGCTGGGCGGGGGAGGCGGACGGCAGCGGCATCGTGGGCGCGCCTGCGAGCGTGATGCGGCGCAACTCGGGCTACTACGCTTACGAGGAGCGCCCTGCCGTCGCGCGAGGCGCGCTCGCGCTGGCGTCTGAAGGCGGCGGTGGCGGCGCTCCTGGCTTTGGCGATGAAGCGGGCCTAGTGGATGCTGACCCCTCGGCTGTTTCTGCAGCAGCCCTCTTCGGCGGCAGCGGCGGCGGTGGTGGCCCAGGCTCCGGCGCAACGGTCGAGGCGCCGGCCCCGCCGGGATGGCCGCAGGAGCTCCCGCCACCGGAGCCGGTCGCGGGCGCGGCGGCCAAGGAGGCGGAGGCGGTCGCTGAGCTGGCGGGCGACTACGTGGCGGCGGCGTTCTTCTCGCGCAATTGGCAGCTGCGGGACGCCGGGATAGCCTGGGTGACAGACCTCGTACGCAACGGCAAGGTGCGGGGTGACACGGGACCATGCGATGAGACTTTCTTCTGTGCGCGTCCATGCTGTCTGCTGGGGGTGCGGTGGTGGTCAAGAGGTGATGCGGGGCACTCCTGGCTGCGTCGTGGTGGTGCCGGCACTGCAGCAGCCTCAGCGCGGGCCGCGTCCGCCTCCGAGCTTAGTGCTGGCGTCCCGTGCGACCGCAGGTGTCTGGCGCTGACAAGCGGGACTTGGCGCGGTCCCTGGCGCGGCTCGCGGCCAAGGCCATGAAGGACAAGGTGCGTGGCGGTGGGCGGTAGGACCGCACCCTGGGGGGCTTGGTAGGGGGTGCACTGGCTGCCTGTTTGAGGCATTCAGCCTCCAGGCTGATTTCGGCACGCATCATGTCCAGCAATGGTGCGCCATGTGGGGGCCTGTGTGTGGGAGAAGCTCCAGTCTGTGCCGTCTGTGCTTCAGGCCAGGCAAGTGCGCATGTGACCCAGGGCTGCGAGACCTCCCAAGAAAGACAGGCCACAGATTAGCGTGATCGCTGTCCCTCCTAGCATGCGCACACTTACACCACACACACACACACACACACACACACACACACACACACACGCACGTAGGCACGCACGCACATGTGCACCAGACCGCACTGACGAATACGCACACGAACACATATAAACACACACATACACACGCAGGTGCCCAACGTGTTCCTGTCAAGCACTGGCCTGCTGCAGGCGCTCGTTGAGGCCATGGCTGGCGGCGGGCGCGACGTGGCCGGGGCAGTGGAGCAGGTGGGGACACGGCAAGCAGCAGCTGCACTGCCATGCATGCTTGAGTGTCTGACCGATTGCAACCTGGTTGTCGGGTAGCTGTGTTTGCATAGCTGCGGCCGACGGGCTGCCAAGCGTTCGTGCACCCCACTGATGTGCCCCTGCAGGCGCTGCCCGTGCTGATCGAGCGGCTGAGCGACAACAACGCACGCCTGCGTGACGGCTCGCGCGACGCGCTGCTGGCGCTGGCGCACAACCGCGAGTCTGGGCTGCGCTACAGCGCCGGCAACGCGGCGCTGCTCAAGCCGGTGAAGAGCCAGACCGCGTGGCGGCCGGTGCTCAGCACGCTGCAGCTGCTGCAGGTGCGGCCGCGGCCCTGAGGCGCTCGGCGGGTGAGGGGTGGCGGGTGGCCGGCCGCAGGGCAGGGCGTGCGGCCCGGTGGCTGGTCGGCACGGACTGGTGGCCCTGGCCTGCTTTCGGCGGCCGCTTACACCGCCTCGACGCCAGCCCGTCTCGCACGTGCACAGACCTGTCCCTCGCCCTGTCCCCTCCCACCCGTTCCGCCACCGCTGCGCCACCACCGCACCCCCAACCCCCCTCGACCCCACTCTCACGCCCGTTCAACCTCCGCAGGACCTGGTCCCCGTCATTGGGGTCTGCCAGGGCGGCGGCGCCACCCGCTCCTCGGCCGGTGGCGGCCAGTCCGGCAGCGGCCAGTCCGGCGGCGCTGAGGGCCTGGACCTGGGGGAGCTCATGGACTACGTGGGCCGGGCCTTTGGCAGCGCAAACGCAGACGTGAGTGCTGCGTTTGACCTTTGGGGGAAGGGGAGGGCGTCCACACCTGTCACGCACAAAAAATACCACTTTGATGACAGGAAAGTCCAGCCGGTCGATCCCGGTTCAGGGGGTCGGGTCGAGAGGGGTAGAGCTGGCTTGCTCTTGCCCTATGCGCACAGTTACCTGCGACGCACCTGGAATGCCCACCCACGCCCCTCAGGTGCGCGGAGCCGCCGTCAAGGTGGCGGTCCTGGCGCACGACGCAGCGGGGCCCGCCGTGCGGCGGCTGCTGCCGCGGGACCTGAACCCCAAGATACGCGCACAGCTGGACGCGGCCTTGGGGGTGGAGGCGGGTGAGCGGCGCGGGGCAAGCCCACGGACGCATCGGTGGCGGCTGGGGCTTGGGGCAACTCTGAGAAAGGCGGGGCCGTTGTGTGGGTATCCCGGGTGCTGGAGGTTTTGGAAGCTGGTTGTAGTGCCACGGTCGCAGGAGCGCTGACAGCGCCCTGCCCCTCCTTGGCTTCGCCCTGCGCTCGTCACAGGATCCCCGCCTCTTGCGGCAGCCGCAGCGGCAGCCACGCCGCCGCCCAAGGCTCGCACCACGCCGGCCCCCAAGGCGGCGTCCTCCGCGACCAAGCAGCCCCCCACGCGCGCCAGCGCCGGCGGCAAGGCCGCTGCGGGCGCGGGCCGCAAGCCTGGCGGCGGTGGCGGCGGCGGCGGCGGCGGCGCGCCGCAGCAGCAGCACCATCAGCAGCAGCCCCTGCCGCCCCACCTGCAGCACAGCCACGACGCCCACGCGCAGCAGCGCCACCAGCAGCAAGCGGGGCCCAACGGCGGCGGGGGCGAGGGCATGCCGGACGACCCGGCGCCGTTTGAGGCGGAGCTACGCAGCCGGGAGAAGCAGTACGGCGCGAACCACCCCGCGGTGGCCGAGAGCTGCAGCAACCTGGCGATTCTGTTCAACCAGCGGGGGGAGGTGGGCGCCGCTGGGGAAGGGACGGGGCCCTTGACACGCGTGGACGCCGCAGGGCCCGTGGCCAGTCTGTACTTTCGGACGCAGAAGGGGTGTGCTGGTGTCTGCACGGCTTGCGTGTGTAGCCCTTGTGTGCAAACACAGGCTCCGACCGTCGCCCGCTGCTGCGGTGGCCATATCCTTTGCCCCCGCCCCCCCCCCCCACACACACACACATACACACACATGCAACCTGCTGCCTGCCAGACACACTCACACACCCACGCACCACATCCCGCCCCTCATGCCCTGCAGTACGGCCGCGCCCAGCCGCTGTACGAGCGCGCCCTGCGCATCTACGAGGGCTCGTACGGCCCCGACCACCAGGAGGTGGCCCACACCCTCACAGACCTGGCGGTGCTGCACCTGGAACAGGTACACTGCGTGGGGGTCCCGGGGTGATGGGACCTGGGTGTGCGTGTTTGTGTGTGTGTGAGGGGGGTGAGTGCGGGGGCGGTTGAGCGGGTGCACGCGCCCCTGTGTGAAGAATTGTGGGCTGGAAGAAGAACAAAGCCTGCATTTGGGCGTGTTGGCTGCGCCACCTCTGGGTCGCCTTACAGCGCGGCGCACCCCACCACGTCCGCCCACCCTCCTCCATCCTTCCGCGACCCCTCAACCCGTGCGCCAGGGCGAGGACGAGGTGGGGCGGCCGCTGCTGGAGCGCGCCCTGGACATACAGGAGCGCGCCCTGGGGCCAGACCACCCAGACGTCGTGGCCATACGCGACGTGCTCAACAGCGAGTGACGCGGCCCGGCGGCCCGGGCGTGATCCGGGGCACCCGGCCGCCGCCCGTCTCTGCCTGATGCTCCCTTGTTGTTTGTTTTGGTGGGTGATCCAGGTCTCGACAGCTCTCCGTGTCCCGACGTCCCTTGACCTGGGCCCAACCAAGCGCTTGCGCCAACGCCCGTGGACACGTGGCATTCCCGGCCGGCGCTCGCGCACCCGCGGCGCCGCCGCTTGTGGCCCTCCAAAGTCCTACGCGTCGGCTGCGCTGCTGGCTTACATGCCCGGCAAGGCATTATCTGACATTTATCAAGTTTCCTTGACCTGATGACTGGTTAGGCTGCTGAACACGAGGCCGGGTGACACAGGGCCCGTCCCCTGGCTGGTCCCGCGCTTTTCCTGCAGTGTCATTGTCACACTTGCAAGCGTTACATGGGGTTTCACGCACACAGCAAGCATGCACAGTGCTGGAGCCAGTGTAACAGTCACCGCAGTACGCTGCTAGGACTTTTCAGAACCACTCACGAGCATTGTCAAGGCAAGGATACAGCATGGTGTGTGTGTGCATGTGTGTTTGTGTGTGTGTTTGCGCCTGCGTGTGCATGCGTGCGCCGCCGTGCCTGAATCACATTAGAAAGTGACCTTGAGCTCTTGGCAGGAACGACATTGATAAACAAACTCACAGCTAGCAGCAGCAAGCGGCTCGACGTTGAGGGGCTTCCAACTGCTCGGCTGCAGTTTCGATGCGCTTGTGGCACCCAGCTCGCATGTCTTTGAGTAGACACTTTACCAACAGCACGCTGCGGCACCCTGGATGCGGCCACACAACACCTAAAATGCACAAGCCGCCACCTGGCCCCAGCCCAACATTGTCAGAGTGGCCAGCACTGGTCAACACGCACCGCCGCAGTTGCTTGGTGCATCGGCAGGTGTTGCGCCAGCGCTCATGCCAGTTCGTGAGCTGCGAACATTAATCTAGCGCGCTTACGGACTCAAATCAGCACACAAGATCGCGGTTTAGGCGCAATCATGCGATCTCTCGTGCCTTCCGCACCCACCCGGACACGGCATGTGCCTGGCGACGCACATTGTTGGCCATCAAGACCCTCGCTATGCACAGCCAAGCCCACGCACGTGCAGCAGCGACGGAGGGACCTGGCGCGCTCGCCGCCCCTGGTGACGCCCGCAGTCAGCGACAGCGGCGAAAGCAGCGGCGCCGCCAGCAGCAGCACGGTCGTGTCCCTCGACACGGGCGAGCAGGTAGAGCAGCTGTCTGTGCCACTGCTGGCGCGTTCAAACGAGTTGGTGCGCGCCGACCTGCGCTTCCCGCTGGGCGTCGTGTTTGAAGCCCGCGACAGCCTGGTGGTGGTGGCGGAGGTGACGCCGGGGGGCGCAGCAGACGACGCGGGTGAGCACCTCCGCCTACGCGAAGGGACCCGCTGCTGGCATGCATAATGTGAGGGGTCCTGTCACCGAGAGCTCCAGGCTCGGGCCAGGGGCGGACCCATTGGAGGGTGCCGCTCATACAGAAAGAAGAAGGTGGGAAAAGATCTAGTCAGCCGGCCGGCAGCATGCGGCGCACTCTGCCGCGGCCCTCGACCCGATGGACCGCGCCCTCCTGACGCGGCCCCGCAGGCGTGCGCGTGGGCGACGTGCTGCGTGCCACCAGCGCCGCCATGATGCGCATGACGTACCCCACGACACAGCTGCTGCTGGGAGGTGCGCGCGGCGCTTAGGCCAACCCCGGCCACGCATGACGCTTGCCTGATGACACGTGCGTTACTGCGCCGGCCTTGATCTGGCCACCTCAAGCACTATGCCTCCTGTTCCAGGCCTGTTGCCGCAGTGACCAGACCGCTCCTTGCTTTGTACAGCAACGCACAGCGTGAGGCGACCCCCCCTACTCTGACGTCATCTCTGCCGCTCACAGGCGTGGGGCGGCCCAAGCTTATGCGCGCCCTCGTGCCGGCCACCAAGTTTGCTTCGACAATGGACGCGGTCCGGTCAAACATGCAGCTTTCAGATCAGATCACTCTGTTCTTGGAGCGCCCTGGCGACGGGAGGGTTGACGGCACCAGCGACGGCAGCAGTGCAGGGGAGCAGCAGCAGCAAGAAGAGCAGACCGAGCAGGATGCCAGCGTGTTTGACTCAAGTTTGTTTGACGAGTAACCGCTGGTTGCACATCGTGACACACTCCGCTTTCTTGCAGCTGTTTTGAGGTGTGAAAGTGGAGGTTTCTTTGTGATACATTTCCAAGGTGGGCACAGGGAAGACCCCGATTGCTGTTGACATCCCAACATGAGACAGTGCAGGAAGGGTCTAAAACTTACAAGGTCGGGATGGCGAGATGCGCGCAGCCCGTGGTCCAGATCAAGCATACAGCGACCCCGCTCCGCACTCTGCGCGGTCAAGCTCAGTCAGCAGACTCCGCTGAGCAGCCGGGGCAACCATGGACCGATTGCGAAGCGTAAGCATGCGTTTGCAGAATACATGTGTCATCACGCCCTTATGTTTCCAGGCCCGTGCCCGTATGCAATCAGCGTTGGGTTGCCAAGAGACAGCGGCGGCAAATTACGCCACAATGCCAGAGAAGGGGGCAGGTTGATGCAGAAGGCCGGCTAACAGGTGCAGGTGGCTCGGAGGCAGCCCCACCATGCAAAAAACAGTCGAACTGCTGGCGCTTTTCCCGCGGGCAGCGGCCCACGCCGCAGCGCAGGCCAAGCCGCATATCTGCCAAAAAACGCGACCAAAGGGCCACCGCGACCAAGCATCACGCAATCCACTTCTCACCACGCCCTGGATTCCGCGCCGAAAGCGCTGCAGCGCTCGCGTCCAGGAACCCTCAGTGATAATAAACAGTCACGCATCATCGATCACGCGTCACGCCTTGTCCCCGAGGAACGCCGCCGGCATGTGGCGCCGCTGGACCTTGCCGGTCGCGCCCTTGGGCAGCGCCTTGGTCACAAACAGCAGCCCCTTGCCCGGCACCTTGAATCCCGACAGCACCTTGCCCGTGGCCTCGCGGATGCTCTCTACCGCGGCCGCCTCCTTGGCCGCCTCGTCAGCGCCCTCGAACGCGCCCTCCCAGCCCTCCTTGAGCACGACCGCGGCGGCAACCACCTCGCCGTACTTGGGGTCTGGGGCGCCGAAGGACACGGCCTCGGCCACCCAGGGGTGCGCCAGCAGGGCCCCGTCCACCTCCAGGGGGGAGATCTTCTCGCCGCCGCGGTTGATCAGCTCCTTGAGGCGGCCTGGGGTTTGCAGGGGTTTGCAGGGGCGGGAGCATGAGGATCGGAACGCGGCTTGCGCGTGCGGCTTGCAGGGTGCGGCTTGCTTGCAGCGTGTGGCTTGCAAGGTGCGGCTTGCAGGGAGCCCGGTGTGAGGGGAAGGCGGGTTGAGCAGAAAAAAAAGTTGGGTCCGGCTGACACACGGGATCCCACGAGGGCGCGCTGCCCGCCAGCTGCAAGCGGCTTCCGTCGAAGCCAAGCCAGCTGGCGGCCCCTGCGCCCATGCGGCCTTCTCAGGAGCCGCCCGGCCTGCGAGGTCGAGGCGCGCCGCGCCCCGCCCGACACCACCCCTCCCTCGTCCGCATTTGATGGCTAAGACCCGCAGCTCCCGCCCCGCGAAGATCAAACCAACGGCAACGCCACAACAGGCCCCAGGCTTATTGCTCTCAGCAATTGATGCATTGCAAGAAGCGAAGAGAGCGCACCTGAAAGCCCCCTCCCTTGCTTGTCCCTCACTCCATGCATTGTGGAACCCCTCGCCGGGAGGGCCCCCCCTCGTGAGGCCGTTCACTCCCCCCCCCAACCCGCAACAGCCTGCCCACCCGTGAGGAAGAGGTACCCGGCCTCGTCCAGCCGGCCCTGGTCCCCGGTCCTGAACCAGCCCTCGGCGGTGAACGCCTCCGCAT